ACAGAAGATAAAGGAGCTTAAACGATTGTAGGGTGTGGAAACACAACTACGACTAATAAATCTACAACTACGCTTGGGGAAAGTGCGCTCACCAAAACACATCTTTCAGCCAACGTAATGGAATTTCTATAATTCAATACTTGTATTGTTGCGTTGTTGTATTCTCATCCATTTTGCTAATGAAAAAAATAATAAAGTATTATTATCAATATTTTAAATGTAGATTCCTGATGAAAGAGGTAATTCTGGGCAAAGGGTCACCATATGAAAAAGTATGAGAACCCATATGATTTAAGATATTTTAGCTCAATTCTAGAAAGTCTGCGGTCATTGATCATTTCGTGTAAGTCTTACAGTTAGTTTTTCTGGTATTAAGCAAAATCTCCACACTGGGATATATGTGTTGTCATCTCCCGGTGGGACAGTAGTAAGTATTTCAGCTAATATTTGGGGTTCGATTCCCCGCGGTGAACACAGCAGATAGCTCAATGTGGGTTTGTTATAAAACAAACAAACTATCTATGTTGTCTTCATTACGGGTATCGAAACCTGGTTTTAAGCATTATAAGACTTATATCTGAGCCACTGGGGAGGCATAGTCTTATGAAAAGTTATTAATGTAAAATTAAGTTTGTCATAATAGATAGTTTTATATATTTGTGATGAACTATATTTCTAGCCTTTAGATAAAATTTGATATTTTCGTTTTTTTTTATCCAATCTATCTAGCGGTAAAAATATAAAAAAAGAAGAAAAAATAATTTTCATCAGGCAACGAGCGGCATATTTTACGATTTCTAATAATTTGTGATAAATAGACATCCTCGGTGGGCCAGCGGTAAGTTTACGGACTTACAATGTAAAAATCAAGGGTTTTATTCCTTGTGATGAACGGATTGCAGGTAGTCTATTGTGAAACTTTGCACTAAGAAAAAAACAAAAACAACAAACAAAACAAAGACTTACATTAGTTGTCAATGGAAAAGATGATCAATTTCCTTCGCTTGTAAGCACGGAAATGAATTTTATGACTTCAAGTAACGCGTGAAAACATTTAAGGATGTAAGTGGCAATTACGTTAACACTCACACAAAGAAAAAGATCCATACGTGTTCTTGTAGCTGATCAAGATAATAGTAGCTGGCAAATTAACCAATACTGAGAAAAACCAGGACAGAGAAGGAAGCTGCTGTGAGACCCAGGCTATGGCGTTGGGATTAAGGAAAATAATGATGGTTTTTAAGGGGGGTAGATACACTCAGGAGAACCGAAATGTGTTGCTGTGGCTGATAAGGTAACATATATACTGGGAGAAGAACAAAATGTATTGTTGTGATTAATAAATTAACAACTACCTTGATTATCGTTGGAATTTGTTGTTATGAGTAATAAGATAACAAATAAATTGATTAGAACCGGAATATGTCTTTATGCTGGTAGAGTAACAAATACAGTTTGAAGAACCGGAATGTGTTGTTGTGGTTAATAAGTTAACAAATATGCTGAGTAGAATTGAAATGGGTTATTTTGAACAATAAGATAACAAATACACTGAGGATAACTGGAATGCATTGTTATGGTTAATAAGATAACGGATATAATGGAGAAAACAGGGATGTGTTATTGTCGTGAAGGGATCGATGGGTGATTAGTTAGTTAAAGTAGAATTTGGAGATAAGCTTTAAACCTTTTAAAGGGCTTTATATAATTATACAGTTAATACTTAAACAATGGGAATTCAGGATGTGTTTGAATGTATTATTTGATGTAATTAAAACAATGGATATCTCTATAAAGTTCAACTGTTTGTTTGTTTTGAATTTCGCGCAAAGCTACACGAGGGCTATTTGCGCTAACCGTCCGTAATTTAGCAGTGTAAGACTAGAGGGAAGGCAGCTAGTCATCACCACCCACCGCCAACTGTTGAGCTACTCTTTTACCAATGAATAGTGGGATTGACCTTCACTTTATAACGCCACCACGGCTGAAAGGGCGAGCATGTTCGGTGGGACGGGAATTCGAACTCGCGACCCGCAGATTGCGAGTCGAGCATCCTAATCATCTGGCTATGCCAGGCCGTTTCAATAGCTTTAAACATTCCGACTTTTTAAGTTTATCCGCGTGTTCTTAATATATTCCATACATCTACAAGCTCTTGCTTGTTTTCCTAGGGATTCAAATTTCAGAATAAAATGTCTTAGTTCTTAGTAGTATAAACTGATCACCAAAATAAATACATAATCATAAACGATGAATTATCACAATGTTTACATGATATAAGCTTTATTAAACTCTTCGATGGCATTATGTTTTGATTGTTTGTTGTTGTTGCTTCTTACAAAATATGTCTCTCATTACTGAGTAAGAAATCACTCGACTTTTTTGGTGTGTTCAAACGTACTGATCGTTATCAACTTCAGTTGAACTTCCCCCAATACAAGTTCTATTCTTTCACCAGTTTACCTGACATGCCAATTTTTCATAAGCTACTCGGCAGAATTTAAAAACACTGAGCAAGTGTTACACACGAAAAAGATAATAATTACGCTACTTCACCTACTCTTTCCCGGACCTTTGTCATACGGAATGGAGAAATACCACGCTTATAGATTTTTGTTAGTAAAATATTGAAGTGTCTAGTGAAAGAAAGCTCTAACAGACACTTAGTACGTAGGTTTAAGTTTTGATTAATTATTTCAGTAGCTCTGTGTATGTAATTTGATAAAAACAGAAAGGTGGTGTAATTTCACTGTAATATTACAATACTTATATTTGTCGTTGAGGAATACTTGGGTGTAATATTTCACTTATATTATAAGGATGGATAATATTTAAGATTTATAAGCAATGTTTGTATTTTTTTACCTTGTTTTCGGTATTTTAAAGTTTGTAACTAGCTCACAACCAACCGTTGGATGGTGAATAGTAATTCACTTGACCATTATTCATTTTCTATTGATATTCTGTTTTATAAGGTATGTTTTGCACATGCGAGTTGGAAGTTAATAAAGAAAGGGAATATTTCTAGTGTTTTTTAAGTTATCTTCCTCCAGCTTTATATCTATTGCAACTGTCCTGCAACTAGCATAATTATTTACTTTTTCTCAATCCAGATTTGAGTAATTTACTAGTAGTTATACAATTCTATATAAAGTTTATAAAGTTCAGAAACTGCCACACCAACCAGTTGGAATAAAGTTGACACAACTTAAAAGAGTTCGCGGACTTACAAATCGAAATAGCCATTGAATGCAGCATTATTGCTATTAGTGTTTAAGACATTTTAGTCTTCCTACTCAAACCAAATTCTTGTGGGTAATTCGTCGAAGAAATGGAAGGCCACTAGATCCTGTTACTAGCATACGAATAAGATTGGTGTACACATGATAGAATAGATCGTCACTTTTTTTACAAAGTGAGATATCCGCCCAAAATTAAGCATTCTTCAGTTTATGGGTGCTTTCGAACACGCTTTCAACCAAAACCACATATCTGGCATTTAAGCTATTATTCAGAGTTACGAGCTAACCACTACAACTACTTTGCATAAGGAAATCCATCCGCAGCTGGATATCGTGGATTGCCTTTCTTTCGTAAGTCGTTCAGAACAGTTAGGCTCTCATGGTGCACTAAGCATCGAAATTAGGGTGAAGAACAATAAAAAAAACCATCACGTAAAGCAATAAATCACATTACTAACTGTTTGCTTCAGATGGATGAGTCTGGATTTGACGTCAACTTGGAGAACGTTTTGGATACAAATGTATAATCCCAATTGTAAAATAAGGTAGGATAGCATCATACTGTGAGCATGTTTTATTTATTTTAGGCTTAGTACAATTATAAAATTTAATGGAATTGAATGCTTTACCGTATTATGATACTTTTGGCATTGCCTACATTAATGAAATTGTACGGGGAAGGACTGTATCTCTTTGAGCGTGATAATGTCTTATGTCATGTTACATACGATGCATCCAGCAATAGTTGAGATAAATTCGATCCATAATCTACCTTGAGCAGCTGAAAGCATAACTGTTCTAGTGCGTTCTGAAACGTATCCACCTGAGGAACAGACTCCAAAAATCTCTCCTGCACTTGGAGCTGCTTTGTAAGTGTAGTTGTTATCTATTCTCTACGTTAATAAACGACAAAGGTAAGGAACCCTATAACCAGAGCTCTTTCGAAAGGTATACTTTTCTTCATCAGAGGCAAACTTGGAAGATGTATAACAATGTGCTTGATAAGTTTTAGTAACAAGGTTCAGGATGTAATTAAAGGAAATGTAGACTCATTCCCTCTTAAAATGAAGGCGAAACAAGAAACCTCTCTCCTCAGAGTGTGCTGCCCCAATATTTCTAGGTAATGAAATACAGATTTATTACATTCAAACTTGAATAAACCATTTTTTTAGTACAGATGTTTAGATTTATGACCTTTTTATCATTTTATCTCCAAAGGACAGGCTCATTCAACTCGAGAAGTTAAAAGTTTTTATTCATAATTCCAGCCAGGCAAATCTTTAAGCAAATTTATTCAAACTGATTTTCAGTATTATTATTATTATGTGTTTTTATGACAACCTATAGATTTTTAATATTAATATTTTTATGTTACTGGCCTTTTTCAATTTTCATTTCACTCAGCATATTTCAGAAAACAAGAGTGATAAAATGCTGTTATTTGTAGAAGGAATAATGTTATTTATTGAGAAATTGATGGTCCAGCAGTTATTAAAACGCACGAACGATAATACAGAAATTATATTGTATCGGTAGTTTATGTTTATATTTCAGTTTACTATATTAGAAGCAAAAGTCTTTCGACAATCAAGCATTGGATTAATATCTGTTAAGGTATTTTGCTCTTCTTATTGTGATGCCAACTCAGCTATCAGAAAATGATATTTTTCTCCTAGCGCGAGGTCAAAGGCAACTATTATGCTAATATATTTGAGTTGATTTAGCACAGTTTTGCAAATGAGCTACAAAAAAAAAGAGTACAATAAATTATCTGTTTTATTAAATTTCAAGAAAAAGGTGACTTTGACAAACACAATTATTCGAGCACACAATTCTATCTTTTGTATGATTATATTGAAATGAAAAAGGGAATCAGTATTTTCCTGCTTTTCAGTAAACTATTGAATTACTTTTTGTTTACATTCTTCTTCAAAGCTCTAACAATCTTCATTGTGAGTTAAGATAACAATAACTGGTTTTGAGCAAAAACAAAGTGTTTGCAGTTTAAGTTAGTTGTTTTTAAGACTGAATACGTTATATTTCACCTGTAAACCAAATTTTCAAAACGAACACATAATTGTATCACAGACTTGGTAATAGGTAAAGAAATTGTGTTGCTCCACGAAGAACAGTCGTCATTGTGTATGACAACATTTAATACAACGTTTTGTTGTCGAGGACTTTGAATAGAAACTCCACATTTTAGCGTGATATTTCGGCGAACTGAAGCTGACAAGCTGGTTTAAGTAGCTGACAAGGTAAGAAAGGACTTGCTGTTTAGAAATGTATTTTAAACTGATTTTTAATTAGGATTCTGTCTTTCTTGACACTGTTAAACTGATGTCTCGCCAGGTCTTTCCTGAAAATGACTAAGAAAAATATAAAAGAAGAAACAAATCTTTGCATTACCAGTTTTTTAGAGATTAACATTATGAAAAAAAATATTCATACGTTTATAACGTAA